TGCGAATAAATAGCTGAGAGAAGTGGCTGGGCTGGGCTGGGCTGGGCTGGGGCTGGGATCAACAATTGGTTGCGATGACTCGAGCCAAGCTGAGTTGCATATTGGTAGTTAAAGCAAATGTTTTTGTGATGATTCAGGTGGGCCAGAAGATTCAACCAACCAGGCAGCCAAGCTTTTCACGGAAGTTTTTATACAACATTCATCCACAGCTCGGAGACATGGGTAATAATTTATATACTCCCGGAGCAGACGCAGGTAAGAACAGAACCCCCCATAGTCCAGACGTCTGGAGGCAAACAGAAGAAACAGAAAACAGAAGAGAAGAAAAACAAAGGATCGGATTTGCAAATGATAGGGCCTGGCTTATTACTATTACTCTTTGTCTTCAACCACTCTTGTTTTGGACGGGATTTGAGCTCCCGAAGTTGACAAACGGAAAAGGGATCAAATATTCCTGGATCTAGGTAAGGAGATCAGCTGTAAAGGCGCCTCATCCCAGCTCCTTTTATTACTATTCTCTTTGAAAATTGTGAATGATATTGGGTGCCAGTTGAAAGTTCTGGCCGCATTCACCTTGTCCTCCCTCCTTACCACCATATGATTCTTCACTTAACGCCAATTTGCCTAATCTTTTATGCATTCTTCTCTTGTTATGCCTTAGCTGCTCTGGACCTCGCTAACACCTTGTTTTCTCCAGTTCTTTCACTTCCAATACTTTTTCAGTTCCTCTCTCGACTTCCCTAGTTTGGCCGGTGTATTTATCCTATAATCCCTTCTAATTCTACCTACCGCATCAAAACTGAACCCTATACATACGGTTATAAAACTTTGGCAGCTGAAATTCTTACTACAACGTCTATCAAATACGATACAATTTAATACCGACATTAAAACGTCTTCGCAGACATAACCGTTCTTCCCTTCGAGGTACTTCTACCATGCAGCAGCCCGGCTCAAAACTACCTAATATGAATGCCGATGCCACAGGCTTCTCCCATGGAGCTTACGCCTCCAACAATCTAGATTTTGGAGACCGCAACTCCCGCAGAGTAAATATCCCTTCGATCAACACGGGCGTGAATGGCCAGAACCCTGGGGATATGACTGCTCCAGGAACGGCGGGTTTTGATATGAGTCTCACCCCATTACTCCCCTCCCAGCTCCTCCTTGGAAGCCCATTCCAACCCGGCACACCGTGTGCCTTCGCCTCTCCTCAATTCTCTGGATTCCAGAGCTTCCCCCAAGCCAACGGTACGAGCCAAAATCAGCAGAACCAGATAGGAAGCCCTACCCTGACCCATCAGAATGCCCTCTCGCCGCAGCTTTACCAAAGTTTGATACCCTCGGATAGCTTCAATGCTTCGCAACTCATTGGTGGCCCTCAATCCCCAGTTGGTTCTTTTCCTGGATTTGCGAATGCGGCTTTTGGGGCTGCTAATGTTGCCTTTCAGGGCCCAATTATTTCGGGAACGAGCCGCACCGTTTATTTGGGAAACCTTCCCCCGGAAACATCGGCAGAGGAAATTCTAGGCCATGTTCGTAGTGGCCAGATTGAGTCTGTACGGTTGCTTCCAGACAAGAACTGTGCTTTTATATCTTTCCTGGAGAGCAGCTCTGCAACCCACTTTCACTCCGATGCTATTTTGAAGAAACTCGCTATCAAAGGAAATGATATCAAAATTGGTTGGGGTAAGCCTTCCCAGGTACCAACATCCGTGTCTTTGGCCGTTCAGCAATCTGGAGCCTCTCGAAACGTGTACCTTGGAAACCTTGCCGAGGATGTCACCGAAGAAGAATTGCGTGAAGATCTTGGCAAGTTTGGTCCCATTGATACGATTAAGATTGTCAAAGAGAAGTCCATTGGATTCGTCCATTTCTTGTCGATCAGCAATGCAATCAAGGCCGTTACCCAACTACCGCAGGAGCCGAAATGGCAAGCACCAAAGCGTGTGTACTATGGCAAGGATCGTTGCGCCTATGTCTCCAAGACCCAACAGCAAAATGCTGCTCAGTATCTAGGCATTGCTCCAGGTTACGCGCACATTCTCAACTCTGCCGATCGTGACCTCATCTCCAACGCTTTGGCTCAGCAATCCGTCGCAGCAGCAGCAGTTGCAACCACCGCTGGTGGTGTGAACAACCTTGGAAACAGAACAGTGTATCTCGGAAATATCCACCCGGAAACAACCATCGAGGAGATCTGTAATGTTGTGCGAGGCGGGCTTCTACATCACATCCGCTACATACCCGACAAACACATCTGCTTTGTCACCTTCATCGATCCGACATCTGCTGCATCCTTCTATGCACTTAGCAACCTGCAGGGCTTGATGATCCATAACCGGAGACTCAAAATTGGCTGGGGTAAGCATTCCGGTGCTCTTCCCCCTGCCATTGCCCTGGCAGTCAGTGGCGGGGCATCCCGAAACGTTTACATCGGTAATTTGGATGAAACCTGGACCGAGGAACGGCTTCGCCAAGATTTCTCTTCCTATGGTGAAATCGAACTGGTTAACGCCTTGCGTGAAAAGAGCTGTGCTTTCGTCAACTTCACCAACATTGCCAATGCCATCAAAGCGATAGAGGCAATGCGCAGTCGGGACGAATACAAGCGGTTCAAAATCAATTTCGGTAAGGATCGTTGCGGCAACCCTCCCCGCCAGATCAACGCCAATGGCGAGCAGAGCCGCGGTGATGGCAATCAGTCTTCCCCCCCCAGGAACGGAAATTTGCAAAATGGTGGATCGCAATGTAGCCCCATCGGTGGTCCAGCAGTTCCACAGGCACCTGGGTCATCAGGGTCGCACTCCCAAAATGGTCATCATAACCGACAAATCCCTCTCGCCGCTACGCCCTCCGCCATCCTAAATGCCGGCAGCAATAATCCCCTAACTCTCTACCTAAACCAAATCTCTCAACAGCAATCCCAAGAACATGAGAACCGTCTCAATGACCACCTAGCCCTCGCAACCCTGCAGCATCAACAGCAACAGGCCCTCGCCCACCAACAAGCAACCCTCTACAACAATGCCTCTGGATCAAACGACTTGCCAAATGGCCACCACACAGTGCACCAGTCCAAGGGATCTATCACCACGCACGGCGGTCTCCTGAACGTTTCCAATGGCGCCCCCAGCACCAGCAATGGCAATACGCTCAGCGTCCCACGAGCCCAACACTCACGCGCCGTCAGTCTCCCTTCCTTCACGCAGGAGGTCTTTGGTGTTGGTCAGGGCTCGGGTTCGGGTCAGCAACCACAGCGCGGTGGGATGGGTCATCATCATCCTCAGGGGAGCTTTTCGGGTTTTGTCAGTGGACTGGGCGGGCTGAGTCACAGTGGATTTGGATTGGTGATTGCGAACGAGGGGTCGCTGCCTGGATGGGCGGAGGAGGAGATTGGGGCGAAGTGAGGGGGGGTGCTCAGTGGTGTCCCTTTTCATTTTGATGTCAATTATTTACTTTTACTTTTCCTTTTTTCCTTCCCTTTTTCTTCTCTTTTTTTCCCCCTTCTCTTTTTCTTCTCCTTTTTCTTTTTTTTTTCTTTTTTTTTTTGCATTTAATTTTCAGGTTTTGGTTTGCACCTAGTTATTTAACTACACCCAATTTTTTTTTAAACTCTCTTTTATTCATGTATTGGTTTATAATTATTTTTGTTTAAAATTTTTGATTACTTTTTTCTTAATTTTACAGGTGATGCGGTTGGGAGCGACTGTATCATGTTTCTTTTATTATAGCCCTTTCATTTCCTTGTATCGCCTGATGCGATTCTGGGTTGTCTGGCTCTGATTCGCCAGCACAGCCCTTGTGCTAGCATGTTAGAAGCTGAAAGGCAAAGAAGGGTGAAATCAAACCCCTTGAACAAGTTGGCTAACTACCTCTGGGTTTTTTTTTTTTTTTTTTTTTTTTTTTTTTTCCATTTGCACAACATTTGATTACTATGTATCTCTCTCTATTTTTGTAATCGCTGCTTTACCTTTGAGAATACTCCAATATTTGTTCAACTTCCTCATCTTTGCATTTCTATTTGAATTTTCTTCGCGTGTTCTGCTTTCTTATATATCTGCCCCTATTCCATTTTACGAAGCTGCATTTGAGAGTTTATTTAATTCTTACACTTTCTTTTTTTCATTTATATTATTTGTAATTGTGTTTTTGCCGGTTCTATTATGTCTAACTCACTCACTTTTTATTTGTACAGCAATTGTCCTCATCAGAATCATATCATTGTGGTATATTTGAATGGCCTGCACAATTTTCTGTGGAGGTTAATATGTGATGGAAAAATGCAGGAGAGAAGAGGTGAAGCCCAGGCAATGAATGGGAGCAAGTGTCGGAGTATAGTTTGTTTTCCAGGTTGCACACACACCATGAGAAGGTTGGATAGATGAATAGATAAGATAGTTGAAGGGTTGAATTTACCACCATTTCCCCCCCTTTGGAGCCTCACTTAGCACTTCTCTACTGGTTCTATCATTCCTTGTAAACAACAGTTTACTGAAACAAATGTAACCTGGTCGAATGGATATCTCAGCAAAAACTTACTTCTGGCTGGTTTTCAGTTACATTGGTCTGCTTCAAGTACTGTAGGCGTGTTCTTTCAGGAAATAATTTCTCCCTTTGGCGGGAGTCTGAGTTAAGGTTTGATTGATATCATGTGACAGGTCACAATCTACATCAAACAACATCTCAAAAAGCAAAACATCTCAAGTTCATTCAACTTCACTCTCCAAGACAAATCACTCTATGCATCTTCTCATGGTACTCGTGATATAGTCATCTATTTTATATGTATGACACGTATCATACACAATCAGAAGCAATAATCATCATCACAATCACAGCACACGAATCCTCCCCAACCCCAAACAGCTATATATTCAGGCACCAAGCTTGAATATACGTCCAAAACAAACGGAGAGAACCCCTTTCTTATATACCCCATATGCAACAGAGTGGTCTCTCGTCTGAAATCCACTTCAAGGCAGCCCGGAAGTTCTTTCACTCTTTCCCGCGATATTGGTTTCCCGCGATATTTACACCCATTAAAGCCATTGGGAATTTCTGTTCACAAGTGTTGTTTCGCGCTTTTAAAACACCCCTTTGCAAGGAGGCGCGGATGCGTGTGCACAGCGCGGCCTATTCAGATCGCAAATAGCACAGTAGGGTTGCCACTCTAAGAAGTGGGTAGGAGAGGGGTGAGAAGTGTTTTTGCGAACGGATTTTTGCTTATCCTGACGTACTGGGAGTCAGAGGGAGAATGTCGTTGCCTCCGGAGCATATCCGGATTAAGAGGGGGAGGGAGGAGGAGCCGGTTGAGACGTTGTGTAAGTGTTCTTTTCCCTTTTACTTTGCCTTGAAAGAATCTGGTCTCTTGGTTCCCTTTCTGAGAATTTTTTGGTGCTTATTGTTTTATTATTTCTGGGTTGCCTTGACTTGGGAAATGCATTCCGAGCAGTTTGCTGGTGCTTCCCAGTGACTCTAATTTCTCCTTGGAGTTCTTTGTCTACGGTATTTCTTCTAACTCTCATCAACAGATATCCAGACTGACATACGTCAGTCGAAAAGGCGGTATACCGATTTTGTCTTTCAACGTGTTGTCCGAACAGACGGCGCCACTGCTTGCAGAATTGATGATAGCGGGCCATTGCGAACATCTCTAGGGGGAAATATTAAGAGCCTTAGGTCAGTAAGTACATCTGTGTCTAGTCATGGTGTGCCTCTGGTACGTGCTACAGCTCCCGGAGAGGAGTTTAAAAACAAACAAGTCAAATCAAAAAAGGAGGGTCTGTTGGGGGAAGGTCGGCTGCCTCCAACCTCATCTCCACAATCAGCATCACGAGTCACGCATCCTGCCGTGAAAACTGTCACTCCCTTGCGAAATCAATCAGCTTCCTCTTCAGCCAAAAACTCTCCCTCCTCTGCTTTGCGTCGGTTTCACATAACTGCCCCTAGTGAGGATGCTACGAGCCCTTCTTCAAATGTACTTCACAAGGTCTCCGGAGGCGTCCATAAGAAGAAAGGGGATCGATTGATGAGTAGGGCTGTGGTAATCGAGAAGCGTTCACATCAAGTAGATGATGCGAGGGCGTCTACTGTCCTTGATGATCTGGCAGCTAAGATTGAGGAAGTTAAAGTCGGTAACGACTTCAAGGAGCCGCCGTCCGCGGTTCCTGGGGATGTTGTCAAGCCATCAGTACCAGAAGCGGCTACCAAACAGGTTACCCCAAGAAAACGGCATGTTGCTAACGAGGCCGAAAAACGATGGAAGGTGGATTCGAAAGCATCTCGATATTCAGACCGAATACAGCAAGCCCGAGAAAAGGATAATAAAACAAAACACGCCCAGTCAATGTTTGACGATCCAACCTTATGGGATCAGGACTCTGATCAGCTGGCATCGGAGCTGGAGGAGTTTGCCCGCAAAGTGACCGGAGATATCGATGTGTCTGGGGCTTCACCTAAACCTGAGTCATCCATTTTATCTACCCCACCACGACAACCAGGCCGGTATGCTGGAATTTCTCCCAACCAGCGCGTGCCGTATCACCCACGGCGTCTAACAGGAGAACGCAATTCACCCCGAAAAAAAGATATGCGCTTTGATGGAGCTGGTGACGATAATGACGAAGATCTTAGCAAAGATGTTGACCGATCTGCAGACGTTGTAGACGGCGGATTGCTTCACCAGAACGCTGACGCGGACATGACGATGGAAGGCAACTATGTTCCACCAGTTAAGCACACGGCGACTTTTGAAACGGCTATCGAATTAGACAGTGGAGATGACGCGGATTACGTTTATGACGAGTTTATCAGACGTCCGGTGGAGGAGATCGCAGCGGACCCTCGAGCTGCGCACCTTCTTAAGGGAGAATGGGCTAGTGAACACGGAGTTGTTCCTAGAGATATTGGCGTAGTAGTTATTACCGAGGAAGATGTTCATTTCTGGGAAGCTTTTGAGGAGCCTGATGATGAGGGGAAAGGCTGGGATTCGGAAGATGAAGATTCTAACGGTATGTTATTGTACAACACCCTCCTTCCCCTTCTTAGCTACGTTGTCATTTTCCCGACTCCCACTGCATGACTTTATTCTTATATCTTTCTCTAACGCCTAACCTCCGGTGCCACAGCGGAAGATAATCCAGCAAATGAATATCCTGACGAGGACCTCGAGTTCGATGATGAATATGATGATACCAATGCCGCTTACAGGAGTTATCGCCTCAATGCTTCCGACGACGAAGAGTTTGATCCGGATTATGACTACGAGTATAGACGTTCTTTCGACAAACCAGAATTCTCATGACGATGAACACTAGGATACGGGGTGGGTTTCATGATTTTAGGTTGCTGGTCACATTTGTTTCAGTTGACTACGTGACTGGGTATAATATAGGTACGATGGCATTTCAGTGGGCGTGAAGGGATTTTCTCCTTTTGTGCTTACGGGTGGCGAAAATATTATGTCCCCAAGGCTATATCTAGTATTTTAAGTGTTGCATGGTGTACTTTTGTAATTGTTCAAGGTTTTGAATTCCATCTCAACAAATTTGTGGAATCAAGGGTTAACCTGAGAGAGAAGCTATAAGCTATCTATGTACCATTTGCGAGATTTGTGATGCTCTCAAGCCACATGGTTTTTGTGAATGATGGGGTTCAATTGAATTAAATTACATGACATGAAATCTGCATGTGCCTCGCAACATCTTCAAATTGCATCTTGTAGACTGGGGGCCAAAAGCGCACTCTTCAAATGCCATCTCCTCAAACTTTCTCTAACCTGTCTCCGTAGTCGTATTGTGTTTTTGTCACTCTAGAGTATTCTACTACATATACTCCGCCGATCTGCCTGGAGAGCCATACATGGAATCAATGAGAACATACTTTCTTGATCCGTTTCTTCAAATACTTAGCCAAACATATCCGCTTAACGACGCAACTAATCAGGCTTTTGTCAACTTCACATGCACAAAACGTGAGTAAGCTCAGCCAGGGTTTGTCGCAGGAAGATCCCCGATAGATCAGCCCACGACCGAGGTTCTGACCAGTCAAGTTGGCCCGCAGAAATATGAGGGAAGAAAGTAAAATATATGGCAAGTCTGGCTAGTTGGTACGTTTGAGCCTAATTTATTATCTATACGAGTTGTTCGACATAATATTTTAGTCCGTCTTTGATTCAGATCTAGTCTGGCTGTAGTTCAAGTTACTAAATGATAACTACTTTTTTGAAAAATTTAAACTCTTTTTGCCCAGCAGCAAGCCTGCACATTAGTTGCAACAGAAAAGGATTTCTCTCAAAGTTGCTTACCCCTTGGAAGAAAAGGAAAGTGAGCAAGATATACAAGATGCAGAAATTCGTGATTGTCGAAGACTAGTCCACTACGAATGCAACCTCCTGATTTCACTATCC